TGGGGAGGCAGTTGGGGGTGAGAAGGCTGGCGAAGGGGGGGAAGTTCGGGGCGATCAGGCCGGTGGAGGGGGGGCAGTTGGGGGCGAGCAGGCGGGCAGAGTGGTTGGGGTGATTAGGCAGGCAGGCAGATGAGCGGTTAGGAGCCAGCTTTCCCAGATTGCAAGAGGGATGTCCGACTGCTGGTTTAGGCCCGGTGGGATCAGGTAAAATCCTGCAGTCGGACATCCCCCGAGGCGTCCCAGATTGGAGAGGGTGCAGGCTGGGCTGAGGGACACCACCCCTCCCCATGCATGGATTTTGTGCACCGGGCCCTGACCAGGAATCGAACCAGCAACCTCTAGGTGCATGGGACAATGCTCACTCCACCTATTTAAAAAGTTGGGAGAGTGAAACAAATCCAGGGTGGGGCTGCTGTAGCTCATTGGGCAGTCAGAGAAGAAGGGGGCCTTGGAGACAGGATGTGGGGGGCGGGGGGTCCAGGTCAAGCTCCCACTGCCCACTGCTCCCCTGATCACAAGCCGCCTGGAGAACCTTAGAGTTTAGGAATGAAAAGTCCACACCGTTAAGTGGAAGGCTGCTCTGAGTCTTTGACCTGAGACCCTTTTACTTTTCCTGCAGGTGAGAACCGTAGGGCAGAGTCAGCAGAATACTCATGAGCTTTTCGTTTCGTTTTAAAATATTTTTATTGATTTCAGAGAGGAAGGGAGAGGGAGAGAGAGAAATCAATGATGAGAGAGAACCATGGATCAGCTGTCTCCTGCACGCCCCACACTGGGGATGGAGCCCACAACCTGCGCCTGTGCCCGGACCATCACCTCCTGGTTCACGGGCCTTCGCTCAGCCAGAGGCATGCCAGCCAGGCGCTGGTGATTTTCACATGTTGGTGAATCAAAATGAGTGTCTAGGACAGTGATGGCTAACCTATGACACGCGTGTCAGAGGTGACACGCGAACACATTTTTTTGGTTGATTTTTCTTTGTTAAATGGCATTTAAATATCCTATCTAATAACAGACAAACATGGTAATTGACCGTACCTTCACTATGCCTTCGCTTGGCTAATCAGCACAATATGCAAATTAGCCGCCAACAAAGATGACAGTTAATTTGCATACGTAGGCTCCAAGCGGCAGATCAAAGACTGAAGGCGAGCGGGAGCAGCGAAGACAGAAGACTGAAGGCAGCTCCAGCCAGAGCGAAGGCCTGGGTCCCGGGGGCTGGAGGAAAACTGGTGCCGGCAGCCAGGGGAAGGGAAGGCCTATACAGGACTTCTAGTAAATAAATAAGACCCTATTTCTATAGAAGGCCATGTGCACAGGTACTGGGGATTAGGACCCCAACATACAAATTTTGAGGGAACACAATTCAATCCATAACAGTGCCCTGCCTCTGCCAGCGACCTC